GGGGCTGTTAATACATGACGGTGCTCAGCGGCAGACGGGACTCCTAAGTGGGGTGTGGGGAGCCTGTGTCTTCTGTCCTTTCTCAGGCAGAGAGATGGAGAGAATCACAGTGCCCAGAAACCTAAAGTTTGATTTAGCAATAATAATAGTAGCAACAGGGATCTTTCCCTGGACTTGACAGTTCACAAAGCATCATCACAGAGCACATGCTTGCTCTCCTTACACCCTACTGAGAACCTCCTGATTGACTGTGCCCCCTTTACAGATGTGACAGCCTCAAGTTTGCACAACTAGTAAGTATGACTTCCACACCTGGACGCGATTCTGGTAAATTCCGTGCCCTGTGTGCTCTGCTACCACCTCATAACCCAGCTCATCCCTTCTTTGGGCCTCGCTCAGTCCTGTCAGCTCCTGCCCCCTGAAAGTTCCCAGCATCTCTCCAATCCAGGAAGCCTCAGAGACAGTGGTCTCCAAGACCCTGGAGCCCATGCGTGCTGGGTGCTCCAGGGAACTGCCATTCTGGCACACATCTGAGCCTGCAGGTGAGCAGCAGAGCTTGTCCCTTGGAGGAAAGGATCTGAGCTTAGCCTAAAACTGGGTTGCAAACAGAATAAAGGAGGGAGGTGGGCTCTGAACTCTGTTCATTCATTTATCTGCCAACTACAGATGTGCCAGCCCATGCAACAGATTCAAATAGGAAGTGGTCATCATTCTGTCTCCAAGGACCTCCTAGAGGAGACGTGCTATCTTCCTGTCTTCCTCTCTTGTGTGCTCTGGCTTCTCTGGAGACCTGAAATGCTGTAGTAACTCCCTCAAGGGGTAGAATTCATGAGCCTGGAGCCAGAACAAGAGCCCCAGATGTGGGACTTCTCCCCACAGTGGGGAGCAGGTCTTGCCCTCAGCCCCAGGCACTCTGCCAGGAGCATGGGATCCTCCCAGGGACAGAAATCAGCTCAGGCCATATTAGGGCTCCAGGGGGTTCTCAAGAACAAGGAACCCAGGAGTGAAAAAGCTTCTGTCCTGAGCCAAAAGAGTGAAGTAGCCCAGGGCCTTCCTGGCTGAAGTCACCCAGGCTCCACCTGCTGAGATCAAGCCCTGGGGACGCCTTAAGGTGTCCGCTCCAGGACCACCTGTCTCATCTCAGTAGGGGAGCCCAAGATAGATAAGGGAAGGCACAGGTATTCCCAGGGAAAGAAGCCTTGGGGATCAGCTCATTTCTGAAAGGGAAATGGGGGCTAAAGTTATAGTCTAGTGGTAGAATTCTTACCTAGCCTGCATGAGGCCATGGGTTTGATTCCCAGCACAGAGACAGCGAGAGACACAGAGAGATGCCCAAAGTCTTATCTTGTGGCAAGCACCAGACCAGAACTTCTCTATCAGGAAGTGGGATTAACCCAACCTAGTCAACCTTCTTGGGGGTGGGGGTGGGGACTATAACATGAACGAAACACCAAGAACTTGATGTTAACAAACACTGGTAGGTATGTGTGGAGTGTGGGGCACAGTAGGGAGAGGCAGGCCCAGGCAGCTGCAAGAACACACAAGTCCGAGTCCCAAAGGCAGGCACCAGCAGACCAAGACAGGCAGAGACACACACCCAATCCTAAAGGCTTATAGGTCAAGTTACACCAAAGGTACTTTTAAGGCTTTAAATCCCTCCCCAAATCTGGGGCTTAGCACTTGCCAGGAATTTCAAGGTAGGTATTCAAGCCTTCAGTTCTTTATTTTGTTAATTTCCTCTATTCAAAGACAGGACTAGCCTAAAAGATTGGAGCAAAACTGAGGTTTGGTGAGTTCTCAGGGGAGAAATCCATAGGTTTGGGATTCCCAACATCAGGGCAAATTAGCTGTTTCCTTTAGTTCATCTCCCCACGTGTGTGCTAGGATGTTGTCTACACCGACTGAGCTCCTCCCCTAGTCAGTCGGTTTCTACCTGGACCATCTTAAAGGCAGGGCTTGGGCTTTGTTTTCCTCATCCCCAAAGGCAAACCTCCACTACTGTTAAATTTGTGAAAGGAAACTTGATTTGAATAAGGGGTGGAGACTTTACTAAAGGACCGGGAGACTTTGTCCTGAAGGTGTGTTTAATTGATAAGGACCCTAATTTGGAAGGCCAAACCTGTGAAAAGGAAGTTACAGTAGCATCAATAAGTGAGAAAAGGCCAAGCCCATGGCCAGCCTGGGGACTTTAGTCTCTTCCCTAGATCACACGTAGGAAAATGAGTCTGCCCTAGAGTGAGAAGGAGGCACTGTGCAGCTTTCCCCAACTAGAAGTGGACAGCTGGCTCCTGGGGTGGGTCGATAGTACAGAAGAAAAGAGGCAGGCACAGTGGTGCACACCTGTCATCCCAGGCCCTGGGAGGCTGAGACAGGATTGCTTCGAGTTAGCGGCCAGCCTGGGCTACATAGTGAGTTCAAGGCCAGCCTGGAATACATAGTGAGACCTCATCTGGGGTGGGGGTGTCACAAGTTCAAACCAGCCTGGACAGTGTTTTGAGACCTTGTCTCAGAATAAAAGGGCTCAGTGTGAAGACACCCTGGGTGCAATTTTCATTACCACAAGAATTAATTAATTAAAAATAAAAATGCGGGGGAAGAATCAAGTTACAGCTAGCCTTAAAAAAAAAACCCAAATCATTTATTAAACATGGAAGGAAAGAGAGGAGGGAGAAGGAGACGTCAGGGAGAAAATCACAAAAGTTGTTTGGTTTGTTTTGTTTTTGAACACTTGGGATTCACGGACTCGTGCTGAGGTCTGGGGGACCTGTGCCCACCCAGCAGATCATCACCCAGTTTGTGTTAGGGATCTCATTGGACTTGCCCCACCGGGGGTGGGATGGTGGAGGGGTGCTATTCCCCTTTACAGATGTGGGAGCTGATGGAGAAGCTGTGAGCTGGCAGATGGTAGTGCTGGGAATTCCAAGTAATCGATGCCTCCAGTACTCTTTGCAAGCCCCCCCCCCCCGCGCCGAGTTCTGCCCCAGGTCCTGAAGACAGCAACTGCCATTTGTCCGCTGCTTTACGTGGTAAAGCCCTTTCACAAACCTCCAGCTGAGCCTGGGGGAAGGCTCCGTGAAGTCTCCGTGCTCCTTCGGTACGGAAGGGAAGCCAGGTTAGGCCGGCCTGGGAGAAGGAAGCCATTCCCAAGATAATGCAGCCAGCACCGAAAACCAGGATTTCTGGTTCCCAAGTTGCTCTGAAGCCCACTTTTCAGTCCCAGTGACAAGTTCTGACATTTTTTTGTTGTTGGTAGTGGGCTGGGGACAGAACGCGGATCCTCGGTGCCTTCTCCTTGAGCTACATCCTCAAGTCCCCAGCGGCCAGTGTGGGATTTGATTTTCATTGCGGGCTGCCGGGGCTGTCTCAGCTGATTTCGAGAGCTGGGTGCTCTCGGGGCAGGGGGAGAGCGGGAATGAAGTCGATTCCAGAGGAAGCTAGAAGAAGACTGAGGGACCCCGCTGCCACGCTGGGGGAAAGGGAGGCTGGCGCCCCGACCGCCTCCACCCCCACTTCCTTTGAGCTGCCGAGGCAAGGGAGCTTTCTAGGTTGGCTCCACTTGTGTTAAATATTTCCACCGCCGGCATCGATTGCTTCGGTAAAGAACGTTCACAAGTGGAAACTATTCCTCTAAGAAGAAAAGCCCGAGGCTGCCTCTCAGGTTGCTGCTCTGGGACTCCCGAGTCTATCCCCCTTGAAGTTCTTGGAGCAAAGCTGAGCCTCAGCGGACACTTGGGAGGCAAAGCCTGCAAACTTGGGCAAAAGGCTGGGAGGGAGCGGGAACGAAAAATGGCCCCCGGGTTGGGGTTCCTGGGTTCTTGGGATTGTTTAAAACGGGGAAGAGCCGGGAGTCGCTCTCGCAGGGCCTCCGAAGGAGACACACTTCTACCCCGGGGGCCCCGGGTTAGGGTCGCTACCGGACTGCTGGAAGAGGGGGCGCCCCAAGCCTGACCCGCCCAAGGGGCCCCACACGGAGCTCGGAAAGGCTCAGGCTTTCAGATTTGAACCGTGGAGGCGGAGCGGCCGGACTGAAGCTCGCGACGGCCATTGGCTGCGGCGGTGCCGCGACAGCAGCGCGGAGGGAGCGGGAGGGGGCCGGGGAGGAGCCTGCGAGGGGAGTGTCGCCGGCTCCCCGCCCCGAGAGCCCCAGGCCTGAGCGAGCCGCACGGCCGCGCTGACATGGGCCGCCCGCCGGGCCGCGGCGCCGAGCCCACCGAGGGGAGCGCACGGCCGCGCCGACCCCGCGCCCGGAACTCTGCGAACCGAGGTAGGTGACGGGCACCCGCTTCTGGCCATGACAGCCGCGCGCGCCCTGCGAGGCCTGGGTGGGCTCGAACCCCTTCGCGGGCGTTGGGCATTGAGAGAGCCCGCGTGGGGGCCGCCACGCGTCGGGGACAAGGGCGCGCAGACCGCGGGTCCTCAGCGCTCGCCGGCCTTCGCCGCGCCCAGCCGGGGAGGTGGGGCTGGGCGAGGGCGCCCGTGGGGCGGTTCGGGTGCGGGGACCCGGAGCCACGCACCGTGTCCCAGGAGAGTGGGGCTTGGGGATTTGCAGCATCAGAATGCGCAGCGCAACGTGGCAGGGATCGATTTCCCCTTCCCAGGTTGAGATCGCCGTTCTGGCCGAGGGAGCTTCTCGTGGGGGACCGAGGCGGATTTAAAGTCCACCCCCTTGCCCAGGAATGGGGTGTGTGTCGGTGTGGGCCGGGGCGGAACAACCGGCCGCGCGCAGCCCGCCCGAGGGGGGGTGTGCGTTCCCAGAGTCCCCATGAATCAACCGGATTGTTCGCCTGTAGTGACAGAGGCGTGTACACGCGCTCTCGCGCTGTACACCCACTGCCGCACACGCCACCCGGTGTCACCGGCCTGAGGAGAAAGGGGGGAAGGCGCTGCCTGGAAGGGAATGGCCCAGGGAACAAACACTCCCCCGCCCCGCCCCGCGCGCTCTTTCCTCCCCTTCGCGCCAGGCTCCCGCCCCGCCCCGCCCGCCTCCTGGGGAGACTCGGAGGCCAAGGCCGCCAGAGGCTCAGGCTCCGGTCGACGGGGTGGGGCCCAGCCGAGCTGCCGGCCGCTTCGGAACCGAGGAGACGGGTTTGCGCAGGGCTGCGGGCCGGGTGCTCCCGGGGCGCAGTGTTCACGGTGAGGTCGCGACCGGCGAGCGGCTGGTTAATGATTTAACCACAGGTTCTGGGCGGTCGAGCTCCGATCCGCGTTTCTGGCTCCGCCCCCTCCGAGCGCCCCCAGCCGGAGTTACAAAACCGCCCCCCGACCTAGTGTGTCCCAGGATCTGCCCTGCTCGCTGGGGATCCTGGCCGCCCGCGGGTGAGTGTCCCGGCCTGGAGGGCTCAGCCTGGTTCGGCTTCCTGGGAGAGTACTGAAGTGTGTGTGTGCGTGTGTTAGACACTGTGTGGCGGGGGTTGCTCTCCGCTAACTCAAACCAGGTTCCTAGTGTTTGCCCGAGGAGATACTGCGGCCTGGGCTTTGGAAGTTTTCTTTTTCTCCCTGGGAGAGTGGAGGGGAAATACAACGCTTTCTGTTTTCTCGTCGCCTGGGAACTTCTCCCCTTCCACCGCCCCGCCGCTCACAGTCGGCCCGGCTCCCACCTCCAGGCAAGGCTCGGTTCTTTGCCCGGGTAGCGGTGTATTTGAATGGGGGAAGTCCTTGGGGGGGGGTCCCCTTTGCTGAGAAGTCCTCTGCCCTCCATTGAGGGGTTGGGGTGCTCGAGGGAGACGGGCCTCACCCCTACCCGGATGGGGGATGTAAACCCTGAGGGGCCTGCCGTGGGCCCGCTCAGTACGGCTTCAAGGCACCGAAGCCACCGTCTGGGTTTCTGCGAACTCCGAAGCAGCCCCCGCCCCCTTTCTGAGGCTGGGCTGGAGGAGGGGACCACCAGCGGGATGGACTGAATTTTAAGAGAACAAAGAACGGGGCACAAAGGAAGGGGGAGCTGAGCTGTGGGTTTCTGAAATAGGGGTCTGCTGGAGCAGAGTCTGGACAGCCCCAGAGGCCCCGAGGCCATAGTGGAGAGTCCCCTGATCCCGGGAGGCGCCCTCCCTGCTGGGCGCTGGGGCCTGGCTACGTGTGGGGAGCTGTGTTGTTCCGTTCTCATCCGTTGCTGGTTTGATCTGCCTTGTGACCGACTGATTAGTGCGGTTTATTGCCCCCAAACTTGGACCTTGCTCTTCCGCTCCTTGAGGACAGCTGCTCCTTCCCACAACCGGGAACCTTGGGGGTACCAAGGGGTCTTCAGGGCCCCTGGTGATCCCTGAAGGGGCTGAGGGGTGCCTGTGTGATAAAGCAAGCCTGCCCCCAGGGGTGGGGACTCTGGGTGTCTCGGCCCCTCCAGCATCTCTTGGATTTCATGGGTCGCTGCTCATTATGCACCCGTTGCTTATGTTCAGCCGTGTGGCTCAGGCCTCTGCTCTGAGCGTTTCTTCCATATTCTGCGGCTTCTGCCTTTCTCTTTTTTAACCTCTGTTCTTTCCCCTACCCATCTCTGTCTTAGAACTCCCCCGACAGATGCATGTCTCCATCTCATGTGTGTGCCCAACCTATTTCTGCCCTGTGCCTCTTGGAACTGATATTCGGGCCTCCCAGCTTGGGGATCAGGAAGTCACAATCAAACCAGGGTCTCACGCATAAAGCAGGAGGGTGGTTGGGCAGATGTTGATCTTCGAGGGGAACCTTAGACCCTTCTTTACAAGTCAGGCACTTTTTGTGGTCACCCACACTTGTAATCCCAGGACTCAGGAGGCTGAGGCAGGAGAATTGCAAGTTAGAGGCCAGCCTGGGCTACATAGTGAAATCCTGCCAAAAAAAAAAAAAAGTCAAGAGTTTTCAGGAAGAGCCTTTTAGTTCTGGCCCAGGAGCTCTAGTTCCCTCCACCTTTGGAGTGATTCATTGATTTCTATGACCAGGACAGGCTGTGCTGAGCTCGGCAGGCCAGGTGTTTGGTATTGGTCTCTCCCTTTCTTCCTCTCTTTTCCTTTATCTCCCCCATTTCACACCCATTTAGTCTAGACTGGGGAGCAGGTAGAGGGACCCCAAACCAGAATGTCAGGAGTGCTGTGGGGCAGCAACTCCAGGCTGCCCTGTAGATGTCCGTCCCATAGACTCCGAGGCTCTTGTCCCTTGAAGGAACAAGGGATCTGGGTTGATGCCAGAGATATGGCCTGTGGGTGGAGAGAGAGGTTGGGCAATCTCTGGGAGCTCAGAGGCCTGACCTGAGCTAGGCAAGGGAGGCTTTCTCCGACCTTGGCGACAAGAATCAAAGTCTTGTGCACAGGACACTTCGGGAAGTGGTCCACTGGACTGTCCTTCTGAGGGGCCCTGGGAAGGCTGCACCCGTGCCAGCCCTCTGGGTAGAAACACCAAATTCCAGCTAAACACAACCTTCTCTTGCTTGTAGGGTACTAGGGAGGAAGTTTAAGCCATTAGCTTCTCACATTCCCATTCACTGTGCCCCTGAAGCCCCAGCTTAAAACTCACTTCCTTGAGGCACTTTGGGCTTCCTTCCAGCTGAGGGACACTGGAGTTTCCCTCTGCCACCACCGACTTGGAGTTCAGGCTACGTGCCAGGGTGGCAGTGCTGGCATCCAGAGCAGCCCTCCTTTGCCTGGAACAGGGGAATTGGTGGTCTCTACTCCACCTCCCAAGCTGGAATGTCTTCCTTTTGGGACTCAGGTGAGAGCATTTTGGGGTGTGTTATGAATGCACTCCTGGTGTTCTACCCTCCTTCCTTCTTTCCAGGATTGACAGCATCTGGAAAGCAATAGTGCCAGGGCAAAAACGCCCCCCTGGGCATTGTGATGCTCAACCACAGCCTCTTCAGCCACCACCTTCTACCTGGGCCATCAGGGTAGCAGATGAGGTCACCTGGGGCAGCCGCCAGCTCCCTGCCTGTCTGGGTTCTCCCTGTGTGCAGTAACTGAACCTGGTCTGGAGACCCCAGCTTTAAGCCCCCCAAAATGACAATGAGGCCAGGTTCAGTGTTCTAGCTTTTCTTTCCTGCCCCTCCTTTCTTCCTGTCCTGAAATCTTCCCTCCTCTGGTCCCCACTCACTGTGACCTCTGCCTTTCCTTAGAATGTTGCTCCTAGACCCAAAGATCAGAGAGGCCCCTGAGATGGAGCTTAAGGCTGAATGAAATAGTGGAGGAGGACAAAGCCCTAGGGGGGCCAGAGGGAACCTAGGAGCCAGTGGTACTGAATGTGGACCTCGCAGGAGAATGTGGGTAGGTGCAAAGACGTTTTCCTATGGTTGGTCACGTTGAAGTTTTGTGCATTATTCCCAATGGTAGCACCCCCTCTCTCACATTCCTGAGTTATCCGATATCCTAGAGAATAAAGGGAGTTTCCCCTTTCCCACCTCAAGCTCACTAAAGGAGCTTAGGTCCTCCTGCCTGAGGAGTTTGCCATCCTGTGCCACAAAAGGTGACGAAGGATGGAGGGAAATGAGATCTGGAAAAAAGCCCAGCCTGAGTGGTTGCCCATGCCTATAATCCCAGCTACTAGGGAGCCTGAGGCAGGAGGATTGCAAGTTTGAGGCCAACATGGGCAACTTAGTGAGTTCTCAAAATTAAAAAAAAAAAGAAAAAAAAGGCAGCCGAGCCTAGGGCTGCCTGACCTTATGGCCAAAGGGACTGCAGAGAGAGAGAGGGCAGAATCTATACCTGGGCTTCAGAGGCTTGAAGAACCTTTCTCCCTACAACACATAATCTGGGGGACCCCAGGGTTTGAGAGAGACAGCATGTCACAGCATCGCCCTCAGGGAGCACATCTAACAGTGGTCACCCTGCAAGTCCTTTACACGTGTTGGCTTATTTGATCCTCACAGTGACCGGGAGGCACCAAATGTTATCGATGGCTTTGAAAGTCAAAGAGGAATCCGAGGCATAAGTAACTTGCCCGTTGGTTCATACCAGCTTGTGATCCAGAAAGTGTGGCTCTTGATACCCAAGCTCTAGAATGATCTGGGTGGAAGATCTGCCACCCTGCTGTGGAGGGAGCCAGATCTGCCACTGTGAGGCTCTTTCCAGAGACACCCCCCGCCCCCCACCAGGTGTCCCTGTGCTCCCTACTCCTTGGCAAAGTGAAACCGAACAAGGCCCCACAGATCTGATTTCAAGTGTGCTTGCTTCCTTCTGAGCCAAGGCAGCAGGAGGGAGGAGTCGAGCTGTAGGACACTCCTAGTGAGGGAGAGCTGTCCTCAGGGGATACTCGGCTCCCAGCCACCCTTCCTGCCCTCTGTGATGGTGGTTTGCTCTGGGTGAGACTCCGGGAAACACGCGTTTCCAGGAAGGGCCCTGTAAATAACCAAAGTTGCCGGATGTCCCTGAGTCACTGACTCTTCGACTTCTGGGCTTCTTGGTTGGTTCTCCTTTCCGGTCACTCCCAGGCCTTGGCTCCTTTCCATTCCTTTTCTGAGTTGTTCACATTCTAGGTGGTGGGTGAGGGAAGCTTTCTCCTTCGCCCTCCTTCTCACTTCCTCTAGTTCAAGGCAGATGGTATTGGGGTGAAAATGGAGGCAGATGCAGGGGCAAAGAACGAATGAGCCAATTCCCAGCCCACAAGCCAAGGGCTTCCCCTGGAGGGCCATGCTTCCCAGGATTAAACTGTACTTGCCCTGGAATGGTGGGGAATGGGGTGCCTAGATTAGGGGATTTTAACTAGAAATTGCGTGTACCTCCTGTGGGCATTCATGTAGCCGTATCTGTCATTAAATCTCCAAGGCAGTTCCTAATGATGCTTATGATCCCTCACCTCACCTCCAGTATTCCTTACACCACAGTGGAAAAATCTGAATTCAGAATCTGGCAAGTCTGGATTGTTCTTTCAGCTCCATCCTGACCAACTACGTGACTTGGATGAATGATTTAACTCTCTAAACTTCACTCTCTTATCTGCAGAGTGGAACAGATGATAATATCCTTGGGATTGCTGAGAGATAAGAGAGATAAAGCCTTTCAAATGCTTAGGATGGTGTGTTACAACAGAAAAGCGGTTTAATCAAAATCAAGCATCCAACAATGCTTAGTGTGGGTAGAAGTTCAGTGTCTCTTAGTTCTTTCTCTTACTTCCTCCGTGACTTACAGCTCAGAGGTACTTGGAGGTTGGTGAAGACTATTTCCCTGAGGCCGAGCAGCAGAGCAGCACCTGTGAGCAGCATCTGTGAAACATTCCTGCAGTGGGATCCTTCACACCACAGCCCTGTCTGTCAGGACTCAGTTAGGAGATGGGCATACCCGAGCTCTCCTCACTACAAATCTAATCTAGTTTATTTACTCTCCTACTGGATTCCCTCTTCTGTACTTCCTAGCAACTAC